GCCAATCGCGCTCCAGAAGGCAGGCATACGCGGTCCGCCCAAATAGTACTTTTCTCGTATGAGAAAGCGGTTTATTGACATTGTTTGAAGCTGCCAAGCTTAGTCTTGGACTTAGCACATCCAGAGGAACCAAGAAAAATGAAATCCCAAAATTATCATGCTGCCGAGCCCCTGCCTTTAAGTTGCGAACTTAACTCAAAAAATCGAAACTAACTGCATTCTTTATATTCTAACAAATAGCAAATACAATCTGCATACCTGCAACACCTCACTGTCCTCAAACGCATGAGCCGATGGCCTACCCTCAAGTGTTGAAAACGCGATATTTCCACCAGTTATGGGCGATATATCAGAAAACTCCTGAATTATTTTATTGAAAATAAGGCTCAGAGAAGCAAAACTCATGCGCAGACCTTAGTACATTGAGCAACAGCTTCATTACCAGGAAGAATAGGAGCCTTGTCCGGAAGGCCGTAGGTAGCGCGACAGGAACCGCTATAGAAAAAAGTTAGTAGACTTGAATCTGATGAGAAAAAAAATTGTTAACTTACGAATAGTATTGCCACGGTACCCATTCATCATCTAATGATGTTTTCTTATATATAGCAAAGGATTCCGGTCGAGGTGAGATAAATTTTAGCCGGACATAAGTAATATCAAAGGTTTTACCTAAATGAATGCATTTATTCACATAGGTAAAAAATAGGCGGGTTCGCGTGCCGTTTGCGGCATGCTTATCCTCGTACCAAGAGTGAGTGTTAGATTAACGCTATTTGGATACTGCATATCCTCATTCATAGTCTCTGACTGCCACCACGTTTCATTATTGGCATTATTAAAATCTGTTAAATATCGCGCTGGATGCTCAAAGGCCTGAAAAAAAATTTTTTTTGAACAATTCTGACAGGTTCTGTGAACCGAGAAACTTACCGGATGCCTTGCATCGCAAGTGTCACAGACACTCCGCGCAGCTGAATGACCCGACTGTACACAGAACCTGGAAAATTCTCGTAAAAAGTTTTTTTTTCTAAAAAGTTGAAGCAGCTATGCTTACTTTGTCGGATGTTTGACACCGCATGTGTTCGTCACCTCAACTTCGAGGTTAAACGCAGCATTGATGAAGTCGGGCACACATCGCTGCGGTGCTAACGTTTCGCGATCATAACATGGATTACCATCTGAGAAAATAAGAAATTGTCTTGTGATAAAAAGAAGGAATATCGATACGCTAGAAGCCCAAGGCCTGAGCTACCACGTCATCGTTTGCATTCTTTACGTCTTTGCGATCGCATTGTACTTCAATCGCCTGACTCAGACCGTAGCAATTCGCCAACGAAGCATACTATTATTATTTTATCATTTATATCAATCACAAACAAATCTAATCATTTGAACTCGTATTTGCCGCTGCAATACCACTGAGTTTTGATCTTGATCGCTGGAATTAGTACTCAACGAACAGCCTCCTAACCCCCTTTAAAAAACGGCCATTAGTTTGCTTGATTGCATTTTATCGCTACAAAAAAATGATTGATGGTGTCAAACGCACTCTGCTTCTAGCTTGCAATACTAACAATTGCTCCTATTACAACTTTTTGAGTGGATGACAGACACCTGATTCATAGAAAGCAACAGTCATGCGCGAAACTATTCACAATAGTGGTTTGTTCGATTGAATAGGGTTAACCCTAATGATTCTATATGAAACTGAAAGAGCACTGTCTCAGACCTGTTTGTACAAGAAGAGCCAGAAATAGACCATACAGTTAAAGAAAACTGGAAAGGATCTAAGGGAACCAGAAAAAATAAGCAGAGGCTGAGGAATTTTCGTTATCTCATGGTCATTCCCGTGTTACTGTAATCTACATAAGACAGCATAAATAGTCTATGCTTCAAAAAATAAATAAAAACTTTATGGGCAATTTAAAAATCTGCTTCAATCAATAATCTTAAAAATCTGCTTCCATCAATACGAATTACAAATTTAACTCATTATTTACCCAAAAGCTATTTTCTTAAGAAATAAAACTGCAGCAAACACGACAGAAAAATATACGTACATGAGCGCACTGCCAAAATTCACAAGTTTTTTTTTCCGAAACTCGCAAATCTCTTGCTGTAGTTAATACGTTTGACAGGTGGTGGATGATAGATGAGATGAGGTGTCTCACGCAAAAAAGTTGCGAGCTTCGCCGTAATCAAAAAGCTGGGTATTATTAGTTTTCCGAACGTACAAGATGATACTGAAAACATTTGCGACTCGAATTCACGAACACGTGTGAAAGCGGTCTACAGGTGTTCAATTCGATGATTACTGCTTCTCACTTCGTTCACACTGATAAGTTTTGCAAACAGATTGCGCAGAATTTGTTTGAGCAGAAGATTAAGAATGTTTCTCGCGACAATGCAGGGATAAAGTACAACTATGCAAATCAGCCATTTCCACCACCTTGCATGCGTCTTTGGATGGTAAAAACGCAATTTCGGAGCTCTAACAAACCAAACAACGCTGACGAAGTCAAAGATGAAGAATACCTTACCAGCACCAAAGTGATTTGGATCGACCGTTGGGATTAGTTGTGCTGGTTGCGTCCAACCGTAACGCAGTAATATAAATGAGGAAATTACAGAAAGCCACATTATTATACAAAGATCATTCGGGCAGTGTCGAAGCTATGAGATCTGCAAGAGGAAATGTAGTCAACTGATCAAAGAACGAATAA